AAAAAAAAAAAAAATTAAAAAAAACAGGTGTCGCTCAAAGACTGCACCGTTTAGTGGCAGCGCACTAGATTGTTCGTCTGATCGATGACCTACTCAGTAGCACGAACTATCGCAAGCCAGGCATGGAACATGATTTATGGGGGAGCAGTTTATGGGTCCACGGGATTCAATTCACGGTTTTTGTCAGCCCACAGTGGCGCCAAATCTGGGCGACTATCGACTCTTCACTTAGCGCGCTCACAATATTGGAAAAAACAACAAAAAAAAAACAAACTTGTGCGGGTGTGTGTGTGGGGGGGGGAGGGCAAGGGGGGGAGTAATATGGTGACGTCGACTTTAGAAATGGCGTTTAATTAATTGTGTAGTTACTTTATAGAAAATTAAATTTGAAAAAAAAAATGTGATTGGTAAATCGTGATTGGGATGTATTAGAAATAACAAGAGGTGGGGCTAGGATGATCGGGGCTACGATGATTGGGGCTACGATGATTGGGGCTGCGATGATCGAGGCAGCTGAACCAATTTAATGAATGTTTGTAGGTACAAGTCCCACATTGCATTCCAATGATTGAATTTCGTTAAATTGAACACGCCTCGTTGAGTTCTTCAGAACAACAACAGTACCTTAACAGAGTCATGGGGATGCGCTCTGTACCGAGTTATTTAATAAGTGGAAAAGTACTGTCTAATATTAGCTAATGGCCAGCTGGATAAAAACAAAGTGCTGTCTAACATTAGCTAATGGCCAACTAGATAGAGACAAAGTACTGTCTAACATAAGCTAATGGCCAACTAGATAGAGACAAAGTACTGTCTAACATAAGCTAATGGCCAACTAGATAAAGACAAAGTGCTGTCTAACATTAGCTAATGGCCAACTAGATAAAGACAAAATACAATCTATAAAATTAGCTAGTGGCCAATTAGATAAAAATAAAGAACTGTCTAATATTAGCTAATTGCCAACTAGATAAGGACAAAGTACAGTCTAGCATTAGCTAATGGCCAACTAGATAAAGACGAAGAACAGTCTATAACATTAGCTAATGGCAAAATAGATAAAGACAAAGTACAGTCTATAACATTAGCTAATGGC